AAATTTGAGAAGCTGGTGTTTTCATTCTGCTTATCCAACCAATGTACAGCACCTTAGCACAGGCATTGTAGCAATTGCCTACTAAAAACCAGCGGACGCCAGGGTGTAGAGGGAAAATAGCTGACATTTAATCGATTCAACTAGGAGAAGCCAAGAGGCAATGAATTGAGTCAATGTTTGATCTATAGAAAGGTCACTCGAACATTGACTTCCCTACCCACAGATTCAATTGATTTTTGGCAAATGATATTTACATTAGTAAAGTAAAGGGGTTTTCATTAAAAACCGTGACTTTTTTCATATATCTGACATTGGCGCTTACTTTTCCAAGGACTCATACTCATACGTTATTCTAGAATATCTAGTATTCTTTGATTAAACAGTTCGTTTAATAACAGACGTTTCAGGTAAGAAAAAGTTTAGAGTAAGGTTTCTCAAAGCAGTAGTCAAAATTTGTTATTATTTGAGGAGTTGAGGGCTAGTTGAATCACTATAAAGTCCATTCAGTGTGACTCCATTCAACTTTAGTGGCACAAATATTCCACATTGTAAGAAAGTGTGCAGAACTCTCTCCCTAAGGAATTTACTTATATTGGCAGTTCTGAGGCTGTCGCTCTATATAATTTTTCAATTAGTTGTCAACATTGTGAATCAACAGCCAAGTATTTAGGTTTCAATGGAAGTGGGTGACATGTCTTCGTCTTGACAGCTTCTGCTGAAATCTTTTTTTCAGAACATTCAGTCTTCTGGCGAGAAGCACAGTAACCACTGCAATTGTGTTTCGGGTTGTGATCATAGTGTGTTGTATATTGGTCTTGGCTTTCTACATGGAGCCTCGGTTGACTACCTATATTGTACATGCTCGTTTTCGTTTATCGTTCGAGTTTATCACGAATTGCGTAGATGAAAAAGCACAAATGTATCTGTAATCATTACTGCTGAGTTGCCAAGACGTCCTTCCACCAGACAAGTTCTATGGTATGGTTTTGATGCCGAAGATACCTTGATACCTTAAGCTATGTATACACGGTCGTTAGATCTTACAACGTTGTCAGTAAAATGTGCAGAAAATGTCTAACAACAGTGTCAACTTACAAATTTTGTCTTGCAACATTGCCAGTAATGCTTTTTCTGACAACGTTGCAAAAGAAAAATTGTAAGTTCATACGATGGACTCACACTTAGCTTACTTCTGGTACTTTATGTACTGAGTGATTTCAGTACGATTTCCAGGTAGTCGATATAGTATTAAGGCATTTACCAGATACCATTACGGACATATCATTCCTATACGCAATAACTATAACCATAGACTTAAGTTCCACAAGTAGCCAGAACTACTGCAGTTGTGCTCTTAGCTGAGCTTTTGTATGATATAACAGGGCGTGTGATAGTAGTGGCGGGTTCACCGCCAGGTTTTATAGGAGTGCAGATAGAATTCATCTTTCTTAAGTGCCTCAAAAACGCAGATAGAAGATTAGGATCGATAGCTATTTTAATGTTCTATGGGTTTTCTAGGGTTTTACACTTTGCACATGATGCTGATATATAACCATCTGGACCCGTAAATTAAAAGGATCAAATATCGTCAGTATTGGACAGTATCATCGTCAGTAATAGACAGCAGCCAATGATAATGGATATATTGGCATTAACAGGGTTATCAGAAAGCTGCAGGTTTTATAGGAATGCAGATAGAATTCATCTTTGTGAAGTGCCTCAGTTTGCCACCATTTGTGACCTAATATTTTAAATAATGAGTCTCCTAAAACTGTAATAGGCTGGTTAATACCAAGTCTTCTTAGTAATCGATGAAATCGACACAGGATGTACATTGTTAAACTCATCTTTCATGTCGAGAAAGTGGACAAGTGTATAAAAACCTTGCTCAAGGGACAGTTACAATGCATATACTTGACTTGATTTGATTATGATCGATAGATATTTTAATATACATAGTTATCAATGATCCTTTCTAGGGGTATTAGAAGGAAGGGGATAGACTGATTGGTCTAAACATTTTCAGCTCTGTAAGGACTTTTTGGTATGAAGACCACTTCACACTTCGCACATGATTCTTATGACCATCTTAGAAAGGCATTATAAATCCTTATTAGCTAAGGAGTACCTGCATCCACTAACACAAACGGGTCGAATATCGTCGGTAATGGATATTATCATCATTAGTAATAGATAGTAGACTATCGTAGTAATAGAATGATACTATCGGTAATGGATATAATGGGAACAACTGAGTTATCCCGTTTCTTAGGAATGACATCCAGGGATATGAGTGGTCATGAGAACATTTAGATTTTCATGACCACTGCACAGTGGTATAGGAAAAAAAAGAGGGAAATAATTCGGTAACTTCTAAACGGTTAATCCGATTTTAATGAAATTTGGTATGCACAAAGAGGAGGTGTTGTCGAGTTTAGGTTTTGAATTTGGACCTTATAGGCCAACCAGGGGCCCGGCGGGGGGTCCTCAAATTAGGACACCTCGGCTATGTTAAATTTTTAAAACGATCCTATTTCTTCATTTGAGTTCCGATTTAAAAAAAATTCGTATATAGAATCTCCTCATCGAGCACTATAAAAAATGTCGTAGCAGTAAATTATCTCTTATAGTTTAGGAGATATTCGCATTTGAAAATTAAAATTTTAAAATTTTTACCGTCCTTACTTTAGTTTTTTTGATAATAGCGGGTCCAAATATTCCCGATTTTCGCCATTTTTTTTTATTCGCTTAACAACAAGTTTATATATCAAGCAGTGAAAGAATTATGTAAAAATCATGACTGAGTCCAAAGTTATAGGCATTTTAATTTAAAAAATAAAAAAAGCGATTTTTTGTCATTTTTTTGGGAAAAAAGTATCTTTTTCTTTTTAAGTTATCTAAAAAGTTTCTAAGAAGATGTATATAGAATTTATACTTTTTGGAAAGCTGACTTTACATAAAGTACGATAAATGAAACAAAACCTAAAAATTTTTGATACCGAGGGGACCAGGTCCATCCAAAAAAACCCTATCCGCGAATTTTTTAATTTTCAAAAATTATATACAGTTTTGAAAAATAGACAAAATTACCTTTCCATTGGTATATAACATGCCTACCTAATGTTTTTTAAGTAACGAATTAATTAGGGAAAACTAAACATCTTTTAGAAAATTTACCTAGTACTATTATTTTCATCCATATACATATGTAACAAATTTAAGAGTTAACCTTATGGATGAAAATAATAGTGCTATGTAAATTTTCTAAAAGATGTTGAGTTTTCCCTAATTAATTTGTCACTTAAAAAACGTTAGGTAGGCATGTTATATATCAATGGAAAGATAATTTTGTCTATTTTTCAAAACTGTATATAATTTTTGAAAATTAAAAAATTCGCGGAATACTTTTTTTAAAAAATGTTTTTTATTCAGTTTTTGCGAAGATACAAATTTTTCAAATTGCAATAAAAAATTTTATTTATGAATATTTTTTGATAAAATTTTACAGTTAGGTAGATTTTTTTACTTAAAATCCAAAATTAAATAAAAATTTCGAATTTTCTTATTAAAAATCCCGGGATTCCCAAAAAAGTTTTAAAAAAATCCAAAAAATGGGATTTTTTTGGTTTTTTGCCTATTATATCCATACCAGGGGCGGGGTTATCGAAACCCGTTACAAAATGATTAAGAACATATTGGGTCATATAAAACAGGTCACTATAATTTGATATCGACTATGCGATTTGAGAATTTTTGCTCAAAATTGAATTTTCCATAAAAAATAGGGTTTCTTTTGATGGACCTGATCCCCTCGGTATCAAAAATTTTTATGTTTTGTTTCATTTATCGTACTTTATGTAAAGTCAGCTTTCCAAAAAGTATAAATTCTATATACATCTTCTTAGAAACTTTTTAGATAACATAAAAAGAAAAAGATACTTTTTTCCCAAAAAATGACAAAAAATCGCTTTTTTTATTTTTTAAATTAAAATGCCTATAACTTTGGACTCAGTCATGATTTTTACATAATTCTTTCACTGCTTGATATATAAACTTGTTGTTAAGCGAATAAAAAAAAATGGCGAAAATCGGGAATATTTGGACCCGCTATTATCAAAAAAACTAAAGTAAGGACGGTAAAAATTTTAAAATTTTAATTTTCAAATGCGAATATCTCCTAAACTATAAGAGATAATTTACTGCTACGACATTTTTTATAGTGCTCGATGTGGAGATTCTATATACGAATTTTTTTTAAATCGGAACTCAAATGAAGAAATAGGATCGTTTTAAAAATTTAACATAGCCGAGGTGTCCTAATTTGAGGACCCCCCGTCGACAACACCTCCTCTTTGTGCATACCAAATTTCATTAAAATCGGATTAACCGTTTAGAAGTTACCGAATTATTTCCCTCTTTTTTTTTCCTATACCACTGTGCACTGGTCATCCAACTGACACATGATTTCTGTATGAAACTCTGGACCGAAGGAAAAGTTGTTAAGATTTTAAGTAGTTGGCTAGTCACAGAATATCCTTCTACGCTGCTACAGAAGATTCTCCAAGTTTTGCGCTTTGCGTTTTTTATCAAGTTTTTGAGTCTAAAAACATTCTTTATGTTTAAGAAGACATCTATAGAATACAATATATGTGATAGCGAACCTTCATCGTATCCAACTAGCGATTAAAGAACCTTTTCAAGTCCTTGCTATAGGCATGAGGTGAGCTTGAAAAAAGTTCTGGTTAATCTCAAGTAAACATCAATAAATCCTTCCAGAGTTTTAAAGAGAATTAACACTAGACTAATGGGTCTAAAGTCGTTTGGTACGATATACTTTATATTTAAAGCATAAACAACTTTTGTGTTAACTCATGTAATTTCTATTTCGATGGACAATGTTAATTATTTTTAATACATCATAACTAAATATTAAAAGTAAATGTTTCTATTAAAAATAATCTTAAATTTAATGTTTATTATACGTACATTAATAATTTTAGTCTCTGATATGCCCAAAGAAGATATTTTACATCATTTAAACACTTGTGTGGATTTTATTACATCAGCTCTCAGCAAGGGCAATAATATATTGGTGCACTGGTATGTATGTTTGCCGTTGAGCGGTAATTAATAAATTTATTGATTATTAATTAAATCTCTTTTGCGTGTGTGTGTTTTTTTGCAGTTATTTTGGTGTTAGTCGCAGTTCCTCTGCTGTTATAGCTTATATTATGAAGCAGCATAATATGGACTATCAGGCTGCCTATGATTATGTTAAGGCAAAGAGACGTTTTGTACAGCCAAATATAGGTTTTATAGCACAATTGAAATTGTGGCGACGTATGGGTTGCAGTATTGATCCACAATATCAAAAATATAAAATTTATCGTTTACGCTTGGCAGGAGAACAAGTGAGAAAGGGTAAGGGACATCTTCATCATTATACATTTTGTTAATATTGAATGAAATTTTCCTATTGCTTTAGCTAAAATTCTTCCACAAAATTTCAATAACCTCATAAAACCCGATCCTGCTATTACCCAAGAAAATCCCGAACCCATTGTCTATCGTTGTCGCAAGTGTCGTCGTGTGTTGGCCTCAAAATCTCATGTTCTGCTACATCCACCCAAAAATCAAACTCTTTCAAAAGGCACCAATGGTAATGCCAACAACACTGCTGCTTTACCAGCTGTCGAACAAAATTCGAGCTCAGGAACACCACCACGTCTTTTGGAACAAATTGCAGCACAAATTCGTAAAGTTTCAATAACATCACCTACCGATGGTCAACAACCGCTAGTTGAGACTGATAAACAGCAGTATTGTCAGAATATATTGTTTGTAGAGCCTATTGCATGGATGCAACATATTTCGAATAATACTCAGGGACGTTTAAATTGTCCAAAATGTGAACAGAAATTGGGTAATTATAGTTGGATTAATGGTGCGTAAGAAAATTAAATGGGGTATTAGGAGATAATTAAATGTTTCTTTTATCTGTTTTATAGGTTGTCAGTGCCCTTGTGGTGAAGAAATATCTCCAGCATTTTATTTAATACCTTCCAAAGTGGAACTTTCAAAAGCCGTACAAAATGTACAAACTACTTTGTAGATTATAAATATGTTTTTATCAAATGAATTATGTTTAGTAATTAAAAAAAGTTTCACTTTAAGTTATTGGCCTTAGTATTGATTAATCTATTAACTAAACTAAGTACTAGTCCTTTAACTAGTCTAAGAACTAGTGTTTTAATTAGTCTCAGGTTCTTTTAACTAGTCTAAGGACTTGTCTTTTAACTAGTTTAAGGACTAGTTTATTGATGAAGCTATTGACTAGTCTATTGATAAGTCGATTGATTAGTATATTGATAAGTCGATTGACTAGTCTATTGATAAGTCGATTGACTAGTCTATTGATTAGTCGAATATCTAGTTTACTGACTAGTCGATTAACTAGCCTAGGGACTAGTTTACAGACTCGACTATTTTATTGACCAGACGATTGTTTAGTCGATTGACTTTTGTTAAACTAGGCTTCGAACTATTATTAGTCGATTAACTAGTCTATTGACCAGTCTATCGATTAGACGATTGACTAGTCGATTGCCTAGTATACTGGCTAGACTACGGATTACCCTTTTAACTGAAATATGGACTAATCTATTCATACGTCGATTAGCTAGTCGATGGATTAGTTTATTTGCTTGCCTACTGACTTGTCGATTGGATAGATTATAGATTAGTATATTGACTAGACTACTTATTACCCCATTGAATAGACTACGGATTACTCTATTGACTAGACTACGGACTATCCAATTGACTGGTCTATTAATTAGTCGATTGATTAGTTTCTCTGCTTGTCTATTCATCAGTCGATCGATTAGACGATTGATTAGTCTATTGACCAGTCGATCGATTAGACGATTGATTAGTCTATTGACAAGTATTTTAAATAGTTTATTGACTAGACTTAGGACTACCTTATTTACCAGTCTTTTGGCTAATATAGACTAATCAATTGACCAGATTACTGCTTAGTCGATGCACAAGTCTGAGGTCTAGTCTATGGCCTAATGT